TTTGACGTTTTTTTTTTTTTTTTAGCCCTGTCGTGGCATGCCCCTGAGGTAGCCATTTCTGTAAGGAATCTGGCCTTTTTTGCCTGGCACATGTCAGCCCTTCAAGGCAGATCAGATAAGGACTACTTTTATTGTAAATGTTCAGTAAAAGAATCTTGCAAATCTGAATGTGCTTCCCCCCTTCCTCCCTTTATCTTCGTGTGAACTAGGGAGGGCCTCGTCTGAGACGTTTTCTCAGGTTACTTTCTTGCCCCAGACTCAGGCCCCTTTTATCTGACCATCGTCTTGGCAGCAGTTCTTCCTCTGGTCCCTCAAGGCCATTCCCTCTTCCCTCTACAGCAGAGGTGGATTAACTAGGAAACTGTTCCGCGGAAGCAATAAAAACACACAGAGAGACCAAAACATGGAATCTGATAGAAATTGGAACAAATTCCTCTGAGCACAGCTCTCCTTTGGGGCCTAGGGTTGCACACAACCATATCACATGCGTACGTCCACACTGGCAATGCTATATTGTGGTCACCTTCTTCAGCGCTGGATGCCATTGCATGATCTGGCAAAATACAGATGTCAATGCCAGTGGCCAAAATCTCATGCAATCACAGACTTTCCTAGAGTTCTGCAGCCTCTGAGATCTGACCTTGTTTTGTCAGAATGCCCCAAAATCACACACACTTGCCTGAAATCTCCTTGAGATCTTGCCAGAATCGTGATTTGGGGATATCTTGGTGGCCTCCCATCCAAGCATTAACCAAGTCAGACCCAGCTTATCTTTTTGAGGTTAGCCAAATTTGGCTAAGTCTGCCACCTGCTGCTCCACATAGAAAGCACACACAAGTGCGGCAACAATTTCTGGTTCATTTCTTAATTCATTTTAAAATGTTGACTTGAAACCCTTTAAAGATTAAAGACTGAGTCACTTACATCCAGCTAAATTTCCCAGAGCAATATTCACCACCACCTGCCTCGCCTAACCTCATCAAATGTCCAGGCACACCACCACAGACTGCAAACTTGCTGACCGTCGGCTCCGTGGTGGTTTTTTTTTTTAACTAGGAGGGAAATTTTTGCTGACTTACCTCTTGCACTGCTTTACGTTGCTCCATAGCACCCGACTCTGGACATACGGCAGATCAAAATAAAAACAGTGGGAGGGCAGACGGCCTGATCAGGGTCTCTCCTAATCTGTCTCTTTGAGCCCATCCAAAATAGCTCTTGAGCATGGCAAGACATGCAAGCCTCACTCTTAAAACCCAGTCTAAAAATCCATACACTTACCTAATTGATTTACGGCAGGACAGATCTGTATGCAGATATTAATATACAAGTGATATGTAAATACACAAATATAACTATATTAAGTCTCCTGTGGCAGAGGGAAATGCCTGTGTTAAACTTTTGTGACCATGGCATCAAAGTCTCTCAAGATCAAACTAAAATTCAGAGACACTGTACCAGTTTTGGGCTGTGCAAAGCTTCGAAAATAAAAATAGGTAAATTGTGCTGCCATTAGATTTGAAAACCACAAAGAGCAGAATAGAAGGGAAAAAAAGAATGACACCTTATAGATCTGGAGAAGAACCATAGGTTGCAAGAAGAAACAGTCAACCAGCCTGGACCAAACTAAGGCTGATGGTTCCTTGAGATGATGATCAGCAGGGGAAACTCACATACTTTGGGCATGTGCTATGAGTAGATAATGGCCTAGAAAAAAATGGCTACACTTGACAAGGTTGAGGGAAGGAGAAGAAATTGGGTAAGTTGGATGGACAGGCGCAAGGAGATCATTGGAAGGTCCTTAGAAGAATTATGGGTTATCACTGGTAACAAGACAAGATGGGGTGTTTTTGCCCATACAGACATCAAGAGCTAAATCTGACTCACTGGTACCTACCTATCAAACTATGTCTAATATATCTATTTAGCCTTGAATTCTGCCTCCTTCACCAAAAATATCCAAATAGACTAAATTTTGGAAACTGCTACATCACTAACCATATCCCAGAAGCCACAGATCCCTTTTTAAAATGCAAATTTGAAGCCTTGGTTGCTAAACAATTCCCATCCTTATCTTAAAGTGTTCCACCAAGCAAGCTTAGACCCTTCCTTTAGATCTCTGCTATATGAAGATATAAATAATCACCCTAACAGGATCTGGGGACATTCAGTGCCTGGTTTACATGCTCCATAACCCTTATTCAGCTTCAGCCCCTGTGACATTTTGTCAAATATCTGGATATAGAAGATACCCAAAATACATTTTCTATGAGGAAAATATTGCAAAAATGCTATAAAGCACATGCACCAAAATGGTTACATTTGAGGCTAATAAAAATGCATGTGAATATTCATGCAATTATTTTTTCCCAAGTGAATTCCTAAACTACTGAACGATTTCAACAGAATGTATGGTCACAAGAGGATAATTTCATCACAACCCACATAAGCAAATTAGCCCCCATCCCAAAGTATTCATGTCATTAGTTAACTTCAGCTAAAAACATTCTTTCCCTCCTTCTACCACTTTTGTGTTTTGCTCTTCCAAACTACCAATTGCTTTTTCCTCACACATCCCGACATCTTCTCAAGAGGACAACTGCCTTCTTTTCCAATTGAGATGGGTTCCTTCTTCAAAAACGTGGAGACAACTTCCATCTATCAGGATACCTGGTCTCTTGTCCATCCCAAGGAGGAAACAGCTAGAGAGTCCCAGAATGTTATTCAGCACTTTACCATAAAGGAATGTTAGGCAAACAACCTTAATGAATGGCTTGGTGGAAACCAAGTCAACTAGTGCTACCATATCTGACCTGAATAATTTAGACCAGGGTTCCTCAACC